CAATGGATCTATTTCTGGGTTCTCAATTCTATTCCATTGGTCTATGTATCTGTCATTAAACCAATACCAGGCAGTTTTGACCATTGTGGCTGTATAGTAGGTTTTGAGATCCGGCAATGTGAGACCTCCTACTTTGTTTTTCTTTGCATACTATTTTTGAGTTTCACTCATCTATCCGTAGTTTGCCCCTTTTTATTTTTGATTAATATCCCATTGTATGACTACAGCACATGTTATTTCTCTTTGTCCATTCCTGGACATTGTTATTGTTTCTAATTTTTGACTATCATAAATAAAGCTGATCTAAATACTTGTGTCCACCAGTCATCTGTCATTTTTCAGTGCGGCGGTGGCTTGCATGTTGCTGTGATGTTGGAAGTGATGCAACCGGTATTTGAAACAGTGACAAGTATTGACACATTGATAATTACTAGTGACTGGAAACCAAGAGATGGGGTCAGTAGATGGAAAATATGGTCTTGGTGGAAGAAATGATGTGGGATATCACATAATAAATTTTTTTCAGACCAATGACTTATTAATATGATGTTCTTCTAATACATGCCAAAACATGGATGAATCTAGGACGTTATGCTGAGCAAGAAAAGTCAGACTCTGAAGATCAGGTATTGTGTGATTCCAGTTGTATGAAAAGTCTAGAATAGGCAAATCCTTGGAGACAGAATGTAAGTGACTGTTTGCTTATTGGCAGGAATGGAGTGGGAACTGAAGATGAGAGCGAAGGGATACAGGCTTCCTTTGCATGAAAGTGTTCTAAAATGATTGTGGTGATGGTTGTGTGACTTTGGCTATGCTGAAAACGCCTGAATTGTACAGCTCACAAATACCAGTCAAGCTTACTAATCTTTTATTTAACACCTATGGCACTACAGGAAAATTACAACTGCTCCTTCCTTGCTTTTACTGATGAGAATTGATCTTTGATGTGCTCTAAATAATTTTTACCACTTTTCTTTTCCCACACTCAGCAGAGCAACACCACACATTCTGCCTTTTCCC